CCCCCCCCAGCCCCTGCGGGACGCCCCGGGCCTGGCCTTGGGGCCTGACCTGCGCTGCTCTCCTGTGTGGTGTGAGGTTTGAGGTGGTGGTGGACGCCTCCCGCGTGCGGGCCCAGGACTGCGTGACCATCGTCCAGGGCAGGGCCCTGTCCAAGGACTGCCGGGAGCTGCGGCTCTGCGCCTGCATGAGCCCCGCCGGGCCCGTGGACCCCGCGCTGGCCGAGGCGCCTGGCCGCTGACCAGGGATGCGGCAGGCGACCGGGGGGCTCTGGCAGCCTCGGAGAGCCAGGAGGACCACCAGCCCCGCAATCAAGTCACCAGCTACCAAAGCACAAGCAATCTTCAGCCCAGCAAGGCCTGCCTGCCCACCCCAGGAGCCCAGCCTCCCTTCCTGACTCAGAGAAAACCCTCTACTTTGCTTTCGTTGGGTCAGTCCTGGGGTTGGAACTCAGGGCCTGGGTGCTGCCCCTGAGCCTCTTGGTGCTCAAGGCTGGGCGCTCTACCGCTTGAGCCACGGCCCCACCTCCGGCCTTTTGGTGGTTCATTAGAGATGAGAGTCTCATGGACTTTGCTGCCTGGGCTGGCTTTGAACCCCCTGAGTGGCTGGCATTACAGGTTTGAGCCATGGTGCACAGCAAAGCAATCACCGCAACTCTGGTTCTACGGCAAAATCACCTCCCGGACTCTATCTTCCGAGGGACTGAAGATCAGGAACATCATGTCTCAAACCAGCACCTGGAAGTTTGGGTTTACTTCTTCCTTCCTCTCAATTGATTAATGCCTATACCTTTCAGGGACTGAAGACGTTATTATTATTATTATTATTATTTGAGCCAGTCCCAGGGCTTGAACTCAGGGCCTGAGCACTGCCCCTGAGCTTTTCCCCTCAAGGTTGGTGACCACCATTTGAGCCACAGCGCCACTTCCAGCTTTTGGCTGGTTCATTGGAGAGAAGAGTCTTGTGGGCTTTCCTAAAGCCTGGGCTGACCTCCAACCGTGATCCTCCGATCTCAGCCTCTTGAGTAGCTGGAGTGATAGGTGTGAGCCACCAGCAGCTGACTCTGAAGATGAATCATCATAATAAATGTAAATAATGTGAAGCGGGTAATGTGAATGGATTTGTGACCTGTGGGAAAAATCAGAAAGGAATACGTGTGTGTGTGTGTGTGTGATTTGATTGCTCGTGCTTCAGGGATTTGTGGGATATTGTGAGAATATTGCTTCTGTAACTATTGTAGAAAATGTAAATCTTTGGATTTACAAGAGGATGGTTTTAACGTGTGTGTGTGTGTGTGTGTGTGTGTGTGTGTGCGTGCACTAACATTAGGCTTGAACTCAGGGCTTAGGCGCTGTCCCTTAGCTTTTCCCACAAGGCTGGTGCTCTACCACTCGAGCCACGCCTCTGCTTCTGATTCTTTGCTGGATGGTTGGAGGTTAGAGTCTCATGAACTTTCCTGCTCAGGCTGGCTCTGATCTTCAGCCTCCCGCATAGCTCGTAGGATGGCCCCGTCCAATTCATGCGGACATTTTCTCAGAGAAACAGTTGTAGAAAGTGGCTACTGTAAGATCTACACAAGAAGACCTCAGGATGGCGCCTGTGGCCAAGCAAATGTTCTTTACACCTGTGGGAGGAGTCTGGTGTTCAGGGATATGGACTCCATCTCCAGTGCTCAGGAAGGAGGGCCAGTGTCTCTTGAAGACCCAGCAGCTGGGAGAGGCAAACGCAGTCTCCTCGAACTCCAGACCTGACTGGGAGTGTCGTTTTAGAAGGAACTGGTTGTAATCTAAGCTGTGATATGAAATATAGGAGAAGGTAAGGAAATTAACATGGGGGGCTGGGCAGGTGGCTCAGTGGTAGAGCGCTTGCCTTGCATGCCTGAGGCCCTGGGTTCGATTCCTCAGCACCACATGAGCAGAAAAAGCCGCAAGTGGCGCTGTAGCTCAAATGGTAGAGCACCAGCCTTGAGCTGAAGAGCTGAGGGACAGCACCCAGGCCCAGAGTTCAGGCCCCACAACTGACATAAAAGAAAATATTAACATGATTAAAATGAACCAATCCTAAAACAGGTTTGGAAAAAATGCGATTGGTTTCTGGATACCTGTGGCTCACACCTGTCATCCCAGCTGCTCAGGAGGCTGAGGGCTGAGGACCGAGGTTCAGAGCCAGCCTGGGCCGGAAGCCACGTGAGACTCTGATCTCCAAGGCAGAGGTGGAGGGTGGTTCAAGTGGTAGAAAAAAGCTAAGAGAAAGCACCCAGGTCCTGAGTGCAAGTCCCAGTACTGGTAGAAAGAAAGAGAGAAAGAAAAAAAGAGGGAGAGCAGGAGAAAGAAAGAAAGAAAGAAAGAAAGAAAGGAAGGAAGGAAGGAAGAAAGAAAGAAAGAAGGAAAGGAAGAAGGAAAGGAAGGAAGGAAAGAAAAGAAAGAAAGGAAGGAAGGAAGGAAGGAAAGGAAAAAGGAAGGAAGGAGAGGGAGAGAAAGAAAAGAGGAAAGGAAACAATGAATGAAGGAATGAAAGAAAGGAAGGAAAGGAAGAAGAAAAAGGAAGGAGAGGGAGAAAGAAAAAGAAGGAAAACAAAGGAACAAAAGAAGGAAGGAAAGAAAAGAGAAAGGGAGAGAAAAGAGGAAAGAAGGAAAGAAAGAAAAAGGAACAAAAGAGAGAGGAGAGAGAAGAGGGAGGGAGAGAGGGAGGGAGGGAG